AAGCCAAAGGTGGGTGATTTTAATCTGGTTTTAATTTTTTTTGTTGTTGTTGTTAAACATTCTTCTAAGTGATATAGCACTGGTCTGTCCATTTGCTGTACAGAGGTAACTCGTGATTGATGTGATGCTGAACACTGTGACACTGATGTGTCAAATGCAATAATGGTTACCCCTTGTGGACAGTGTTTGGCGGAGCTACCTGATTAAAACAAGCTTGGAAGCAGGAGTGGCATCCACTTCTGAAAAAGCTTGTCTCCAGAAACCCAATAAATTCGGAGAAAGTTATACAAGTGTTCAGGTCTTTCTTCATAGGGTCACTATTAGTCATCTATGACTGGCACTTAACAACAACAAATACAAACCAGGAAACTGGGAAGGCACCAGCATACTACCTATATTGCTACTGTCAGGATCTATCAGTCATATCAACCTACCGCACAACTGGAAACAGTGACTGGTCCCCGTCATTCTCACAACTGCTGCTATGTCTGATCCCACAGACACAGCCCTGTGTCAATCCACCTCATGGAGGGTCTTCCCATCCAGAGCAACCACCACCACTCACTATATATGCAGTGACTAGACAGCAAGAGTAAAGGGGTTGATGGCTGATGCCTTCCAGAAGCACGTTAACACAACTGTTGAAATAATGCACAGACACCAAAAGAAAACATACAGATATTAAGCCAGAATTATCTTAAAAACTGTAAAAATCTTATTACACAAAAATCTATAAATTCCATTTACTCTTTTCTCATATACTCACTGTCACCCTAGCTAGCTCAAGCTTCCTTCAGGCTCATCTCTATCAACTGTAGTTGACCTATGGAAAAAGAAGTATGCAATAATCCACTGGCTAAATACAAAAGCTTGCAAGCACTATGCTAGCAAATCAGTAAGGGGAGTAGTGACAAGGCCATGCACATAGGACTAAAGCACAAGAAGCACTTCAGAACAGCTATGAACCCAGTAACTTCCCAAGCAGGAAGACTGGGTGCATATTTAGCAAGGCCAAACTAACAGCTACAGGTCAGGAGATGGAAAACAGATTACTTTTCAATCAGCTTGAGGAGTGCTCCTTTATCCACAATGATATTAAAATCATCTCTGGCCTCAGGAAGCCTAGAATCTAGTTGGAGAAAATGTCAAAACTCAGAAATATCAACTAATAATCAATCTAATCCAAGACAGATGGCCAAGAAATTAAAAGGCAGTATTTTAGGATATTTGACTCATGGAGATTTGAGAGGGTGAGCTCAAGTGAGCCTTGGTGACTCAAATTAAGAGAAAATTGCTTGACAGGAAAGCAGTAGCAAGGAACAACTCGAATAAAGCTAGAAAGCAACAAGGTGGTTGTTTGACTTCATACCTCAGCAGGAAGGAAAAAACAAAGAGTACTTTGCATAACATTAACTCAAACACATTCCAGCCTACAAATCTCAAGAGAAAGGGTCTGTGGAGAAAAGCTCCTAGATGCCTGGGTGTTAAAAAAAAAAAAGGGGGGGGGGAAACTCAGATGATCTTTTTTCCATAACTAATCTCTACTGATATTCGTGAATTAGCTTCATATGAGCCAGGACCTTAAACAGTTCTGCAGTAATAAACAGGAAAAAAGTTTCTCTAAACAAGAGTTAACACATTTATTCAGTAGGATGTAAAGAGAAATCTAGCACACTGGTGCAAAAAAGTAATTTCTCAGCTAACAGTTGAGTTGCTCTACCAATTAACTCAGCAACAAAAATGCTCTAATGCCTATCTACTTTCAATCTATCTTACATCAAAACTACAAAGCCACGGTTATGCAAAAAATCTTTAATGCCCACATAAACACACACTACTTCCAAAAATCTTTGTTTTTAATGACTTCAAGATTTTCTAAAGTTTTCCACTGCCATTATCTCCAATGGACCTCATGACCACTCAGTCAACTGAAACAGAGATTGCCCATACCCATTCTACAGACAAAATGGAGACGAGATAGTTACCTGCCTAGTGCAAAGTTACACAGCCACTCCCTATTAGTGTGTGAATCCCAAGGCCAGTGACGTAATTATCTTTGCTATGATGCTGTCTTAATACTCTAAAACTTCATTTAGATAACAAATACTGTAACCAAAGGATTCAAAAAGTAAACATTACTTTCAATTTACTAGGGGGAAAGCACTCATTCTGTCCTAGCAACCTAGTAGGTTTTCCTTAATATAAATGGTATTTTATTTTAGCACCTTCTGGAATTTTAAATATAAAAAAGTGTCCAAGGACTTTTAAAAAGTGAAAAAAACTAATAAAGCAAAACAAAAAATCTGTTCAAACAGGCTACAGACTTTAAAACCACTCAAGACAGCTGAACAAGCAGGGCGTCTGAAGAAAAATGCCATTCTGAGCTTCAGTTCTTCAATTCTTATGGATATAGGGACATTTCATAAAGCCCACCACCCTCAACCATAGTGATGTGCTCGCTCTCTCTTCTGCTTCAAGGAACTCTCTCTTAAACCCCCTAATAACACAAAAATTATTTTTAAAAGTCACACAAGTCTGTCTTCCCGGGGCTAAACATAGAGAAGTGTTAAAAATAGAATTAGAAATTGGGTTTTCTCTAGTACACGATCATTTCTTCTGCATTCAGCCTCCATACATCCCCCCACAATTGTGCCCAGACCACGGATGATAATCCCACGAGTCAACGCCAACGGCCCCCCCACCCCGTGTAAATGCGACACACACAGGCCTCAGATCTAGGCCTCTTGCCTCTTTCTCCAACACAACAACTAGGACCTTTGTTCCTAGCGTCGGTTCTTCACCCTCCTCAATAGCTCTTTCAACTTTCCACCCCGTGTTTTTCCTTTCACTTGGTTTAGCCAGAGAGGAGGTTCTGGGCCCGAACTCTCCAAGACTCTTTTTTTTTTAAATTTCGAGGAGGGAGATGAAATGCCAACAGTATCTGGAGAGGCTGGGGGCGAGGACAGAGTTAAGCAGGTCCCTGCAGGGCCTACAAAGCAGAGGCGAGCCCCGGGATCGGGTGATGTGGCAGCCCGGGGAGGACGGAGGGCCCGGGGAGACGCACGGCGGGGGCCGCAGCGAGGTGTCCACTCGGGACAGTCACGGCGCAGCGGCCGTGCGGACACGTCCACACGTCCCCCCCCCCCCCCCCCCCAGGAACTCACGACACCCTCAACCCAGACCCACCTCCGGCCGCGCAGCGAAACCACCCCCGGCGCCAGAGCCAAGAGGCATTTTCCAAAACAAAACAAAACACCGCCCCTCGGGAGGGGGCTGGCGTCCCCCGTGCCCCCTCCCAGCCCCCCACCAGGGTCCCCAATTCCTTCCCGTGCCCCAGCAGCTCCAACAGACGGGACCCCCCTGTGCATTTTTAAACTGGGGGGGTTCAGGTCGCCTCCAGCACACGCAAGGCAGGCTTGCTCGCTTGGCCCGAGGACCGCAGGCTTTGGAATTCTCGCCCTTCACCCCCGAACTTGGCACCCCCGACCCCGACCCCGGAGGTCAGAGCTGAGTCGCCCGGACCAGCCGGGCCCCCCAGCTTTACGTAACCCACGGCCCAAGCAACGGCTCGCCGACTCGCTCTGCCTCCAGTGCACCCACCACGGCGTGACAAGTGGCCCACCCGCCTCCCCTCAAGTTCTGGGTGCCCCCCAACACCCCCCAATGTCCCTGTGGTCCAGGGAGGGTGCCCGCGCGCCGCCCCCCGCCGCCAAGGCCCCCGGGGCGTCATCGCCCCCCGGCCCGCAGTTCCCACGCCGGAGCCCGCCCCGCGCAGCCCCGCCGCTCGCCCCCAACCGTCCCCGGCCGGCGACCCCGGGGCCCACGACTGTTGTCACCCGACCTGCTCCCTAGTTTCCATTTCCGGGCCGTCTCCGGCCTCGGAGCCTCCCCTCTCCCCATTTCCGGGCCCCCCGTCCCATTTCCGGGGAACCCTGGCCGTCTTCACACCCCCCACCTGCACTTCCGGCCCCCCACTTTCTCGCTTCCTAGACGCCCTCCAGGCTCCCGAGCCCACTTCCGGCCCCCCCCACGAGGGGTACCTAAGACCCGCCCGCTTTACCCCGGCTCCGGGAACGACCCTCCTCACGGCGGGGGGCCACAGCGAGCACCCGGGGTCCCCCAGGCCACGGCCCCCCACCCACCCTGCGAGTGCCTCGTCCGACGACCCCCGAGCCGGTCCTTCCGCGGCCCCGCAGCCCCCGGGAACAGGCCGAGCGGGGGCCGGAGCGCGGCGATGACACAACCGGGCTTCCTGGGACTTTCAGTTCCAGCTCTCCCCCCGCCCCTTACAACGCCGCCCCCCAACCCTCAGTCCAGCCCGCTCCCCCCCCCAAGCCCGGCCGCTGCCCCTCGGACGTGCGCCCCAATTACCTAGTTAGGCCCCAAAGTCTCCGGTGCGGACTCGGCGGCGCGGCAGCAACTTCCACTCGCTTCCCCCCACCCCCCCTGGCGGCGGCGGCGGCTCCTCGGTCCCTTCGATTATCAGCTGAGCCGCAGCACCGCGCCGGCGTGCGCCTCCGCCCGCGCCGCCTCCCTCCCCGCCAGCGCTGACACTCCCGGGGACTACTTTGCCCTTCGCCGACGGCCGCGTCCGCGGGGCAGGCCCCGCTGGCTAGTCGCGGCCCATCGCATCGCCCCTCCCTCCCCCACCGCCCGGCGCGACTCCCCCGGCGGCCTCTGAGCTCCTCCCGATCCCTTCGGGGGACCAGGAAGGAGCCTGTACGGCTTCGCTCGGTATCCCTCCGCCGGGGTCACCCCCGCCCCTCCGTGGCAGCAGGAACTAATTCCCCTTCGGGTCACCTGAGGCCTGGAGGTGCAAATGTCCAGGATCGACGTTCCCTGGCACTTCTGCGAGAGGGGACGACTACCTCAAGTTAGAACTCACTCCTCCTTCCGAGCGCTCAGAAGCAAGACTCGATTCCAACTAGGGCTTCGGCCCCATGACCCCTACAAGTCCCGCCCCTTCCTGGTTGTCCTAGCGACGGCGGTGGCGTCCCAAGATGGCGTCGTGGCTGCCAGAAACTCTGTTCGAAATCGTAGGACAAGGCCAAGCTCCCAGCAAAGACTATTACCAGTTACAGGTCACCAGGACCCAGGCAAGTGCGCGCCGCGGCTCCGCTCGCTCCTCCGCTCCTGCCCTGCCGGCCCGGGCAGGCGCGTCTCACCCGGCCGCGGGCGCCTGCGACCCGCCGGAAGGGCCCCGTCCCCGCTCGGAGCCCGGACATCTCCCTCGTCACCTTGGCCTCCTCGGCCCCGCAGCCGGTGGCGCCTGCCTTCCCCCGGCCCAACTCGTCGCTGGCGAGCCTCGCCCGCCTCCCTGCTCCGCTTCTCCTCCCCTCGAACCCCGGGGCTCCTACCCGCCGAGTTCCCTCCGCGCAAAGAGTAAAACGGGGCGTCCCGGGCGCCGTGCAGCCTCCCCTCTGCGTGGGGAGGAGGGAAAAGGCAGGCTCGGCCCCGAGGCCCGAGGAGGAGCCGGCGGGGGAGGAGAAAAGGGGACGAGCTCTTTTCCAGGCCGGGATTGGGTCCGGGAGAACGCCGGGAATGCTAGCCAAGTGTCCGGAGTCGCCCGCCCACCCCAGAACTTGCTCCTTTGTGGCGGGCAGGGCCCGCGGCGAGCTGCCCCCTTACCTCTCCGGAGCCCCGGCCAGCCCGTTCAAAGTGTGCGGGGAGGGGTGGTACTAAAATGTTTCAGCTGCGCGGCGCGGCGGCCCCACCCATCGTGACATCTGCTTCCCCCACAATCAGACCCAGGAGTATGTGATCGGCGGGCGGGAGAGTGGCCCTCGGCCTGTCCGTCTTTGGAAGGTGGGCTTCTGGGGTCGCTTACTGTAATCAGGACGTGATCGCGGCCTCCCGTCCAGCTGGGCCTCCACGTTTAGGATGCCAGGCAGAGCCCCGAAGTGTTCGCAGCTTGCGTGTTAAAAAGAGTGTGTGGGCTTGTTTAGTTTAGTTTATTTATATATATATATTTTTTTTTTCCTATCAATGGGGGCGTGGCGGGGTGGCTCCGCGGTGGAAGCGCTCGGCTGCCGGGCGCCCGCTGCGGCGCGGGAGAGAGGCGTGGCGGTCGGCGGGTGTGAGGTCTGCAACCTCGGAGCGCCCGGGGGCTCGCGCGCCTCGGTCCTGCGCACGCCGCGGGCGTGGATGGGCTTCAGCCTCGGGAGTGACGCCGGCAGCTCTCCCTGCGTGGGGGTTTTGGAGCTGTTTGGTTGTTGTTTTTTTTATTTATTTGTAAAATACTTTTTGAGTGCACTAATGGAGACTAAGCATTAAAAATTTGGAGAGATTTTTAAAAAAGTTTTTATTTTATATTGGTTTGCTTACAAAATTCGTATACATGGTGTTTGGCACCTAACGGAGAATAAACATTAAAAATGTGGAGGGGTCTTTTTAAATTTTTTAAGTTTATATTGGTTTGCTACAAAGTTCGTATACACCTAATGGAGAATAAACATTACAAATGTGGAGGGATTTTTTTTAAGATTTTTTTTAAGTTTTTATATATTGTCTTGCTTACAAAGTATGCATACATGGCGTTTGACACCTAATGGAGAATAAACATTAAAAATTTGGAGGGGTCTTTTTAAATTTTTTAAATTTATATTGGTTTGCTACAAAGTTAGTATACATGGTGTTTGACACCTAATGGAGAATAAACATTAAAAATTTGGAGGGTTTTTTTTAAGATTTTTTTGTAAGTTTTTTTATTTTCTATTGGTTTGCTTACGGAGTTTGTATACATGGTGTTTGACACCGTTGTTAATTCCCATTGTTTCCTTCAATCATCCCCAATCACTATGGTTTTTTTTGGGGTTTTTTAATATGAATTTTTTTATTAAATTTTATTAATTTTAATGAACATTTATAGAGATTTGGGGTTTCCATTCATTCATTGTTGCACTATTTTCTCTACCCTCCCCCCCCAGGTCGTTCCTCTTTTTTTTTCAATCACTATGTTTTATAAAATTAATCACCACTGGACTGTGCTCACCATTACCCTGTCTGTTCCCCACCGGATCTTTCCTGTTTCCCTTACCCCCTCCCTCCACCCACCAAGTTGAAGTCACTCTGTGATTTCGCCCCTACGAATCCTCACCCCTCTTCTCCCATCCCTTCCCTCCGTGGATCCCCATACATAGTTTAACGGTTTTTTTACTAATTATTCTTCTATTTTTACAATAATGGTCTTTGTACATATGTATTTTGATGTTGATATTCCATCAGTTTTCCCTTGGGCCCATAAACAAAATAAGTAGAGAGAAAATCATTCTTTACAAAAAGAAATTATCAAAATAAATTTTTTTAAAAAATCAAACTGACATGCTTTGTAACTGATTGTCAAAAATTTAATTTTTAATTAAATACCTTTTTAAGAGTTTTACATATTTAATGAAGAGAGTTTTAAATACAAGGAGGTTTGTTTTTTTAAATACATGTTTTTAGTGGTAGAATTTGTTGACTGTTTAATTTTGTAGTAGAATTGTTTACTTTCCTCTTTTTGAAAAAGGCATCCTGTTAACATAATTCTGCATTTCTTAATACAAGTGATTGAAAGCATAAATCATCTAATCTTTCTCCATTTGCAGTTTTGCATTCCTCCATCTCGAGTCAGTCAAACTCTTTTGTATTGTTAACAGCCTTTTCAATAATCTCCCTTTAATTTTTTCCTTTTCAGCATTTTCATTTTCTACAGGTTCTGGAATTACAGGTGTGCCCTACCCTAATGTTGTAAGTCTCAGTAAGCCAAATATCTGTTTACCTTTTCATTTTCATAAATTAGAGGATTATGCCTAGGGTTTGCATTTTTCAAGTATGCATCCATTATTGGTGTTTTTAAGACTTGGCTTTCAAGTTTAGCTTGGACATGCGCCTCCCTCTAACTGTCTGTATGAAAACTTTTCCCCTTCAGTCTCCTCCATCTTGTTACACATAATGAAAGATGCCGGAGGATTTCTGTAGGTTTAAAGGAGAGACGACTCACAGCACCCGCCAAGCAACCACTGTTCTTCATTTTCCTTCCTTCCTTTGCAGATCAAAACCTTTCCTTTATTTCAAGCTCTGCTCTCTCAGTCAGTTGCTTATATAGTATATAGGAAATAATTTTCAAGATCTAGTTTCTTTTTTTTAAGCATACTACATAGACCCACTGCAATCCTTCAGAGAAGGATTGGTTTCAAATCTGATTAATTCACCCTCTTTTTAAAGTAAAATAACTTGTAAAAAATAGCAAGTAAAAAATTATCTTTTCAGCCAGAAGTCGAGAGTATGCTGCTTTCTAACCACAGGCTAATTTTTCTGAGTCTCTAGGCCTGATGAAAATAAGTACTGAAGACTAGGATAAAAATCTGTTTTATAAGATGGACTATTTTGTTGCGTGGCTTTCTGAAATTGTAGACTTTTTCTATTTTTCTCTCTGATTCTTTCTGCTTCTATTCTAAACACTGTTGCCTGTTATCCAGAATATACCCTAAATTTAGCTTATTCTTTCTCAAATTCCATTTTTTATGTGCTTTTCCTCTGTATTTTTATTGGCTTATCAAAAAAGCCCTGGACATTTGACATGGATTTGAGGGCAGGCAGACATGGCTCACTCTAGCAGCCTGCCATCCCCAGCATAGGCCAGGTTTAAATGTTACACACAAATGTTTCCTTGGCCTTCTTGCTTAGACACTCACTTGTAAAATAGATATATTCTTATATTACAGGAGGTATTCCAAGGAGCCCTGGTGACGCTGGTAAAGCATTCAGCTACTGAAAGGTTGGCAGTTTGAACCCACTAGTCACTTTGCAGGAGAAAGTGCCAGTTTGCATCCATTAATGTTACAGCCCAGGAAAACCTGTGGGGCTTTCTACTCCTTCCTTCAGCACAACTGCGAGTCTAGCTCAACTAAATGGCAGTGGGTTAGAAGTATTCCAAATTAACACCTTGATGCCAGGAATTCTCCTCCTCAGGTTTCCCCTCTCCCGCTGAGACAAAATCTTTCAGACTGTAGCTTGGGGCCATTCTAGATTGTCTGATCATTATAATGATGGCCCTTGGCCTTAGAAAAATCGGTGCAATGCTTTCTAGATGAGGCACTCTATTAGGCTTGCTCCGGTTCTAGTAGTATATATTTATGTTGACTGCTGTTCTTTTAAAACTAGTACATTTTGCTCTCTTAGAGATGGGGAAAGTTATGAATATTACTTAGGCCCAGGAGATATCACTTAAAACTTCAAAAGAAAGTGTTAAATTACATTCCTGAAGAAAAGCCTTTCCTTAATTTTAACCAACAACTTAGTGTTCTCTGTGGGGGTAGATGTGTCGGAGACAGTGGAACTGGCTCAGGATAAAGCAGAGTTCAGAGCCATGAGTCACAGAGGACTCGATGGCCCATAACTACAACAACATGCAGTGCAGTATAGAAAGTGCTTCTCAATTTACTGCTCACTTAACTCATTTCTTGAGCACATTTTAGGTACCTCAGGAGCCCTGATGCATCAGTGGGAACGTGCTCAGGTATTAAGGGTCTGCGCTTCCAATCCAGCAGCTGAAAGGGGTGTCAGTCAGCAACGTGTAGGCCTCTGGTGGAAGCAACTAAGTGATACTTACATATTTTTGCAGGAAAGGTGAGTGTCAAGGGTGTGTCTATTCCCCACACCTATTCAATCCACTAGCAAGCTCTGGTAGCCTAGGGCTAGGGAGTTGTGGTGCCTAGTGGGACTGCCCTGCAATCTCAAAAGCACATGGTTGGGATCCATCAGCTGCTCCATTGAAGAAGGAGGGGCAATCTCCTCCCCATGCAATTTACTGCCTCCGAAAACCCACTGGAAGGTCAACTGTAAGTTCTGACTGTATGGCACACAACAGCAACAACATTCAATCTGTATATAAAACAGATCATCTGGGAAGCTACCATTTGGGAAGGATCTGTGTGTCCAGTTCCTGGCTGGGACACACAGAGGGATTTAGACATAACCTTTTGCTGAGCAAATCAGTAGAGAAGCTGGACCATGTGAAGAACGTAGCATCAGGATCAGAGGAAGACCCATCAACAGCCGATGTTATGTAGATGACACAACCTTGTTTGCTCAGAGTGAGGGCTGGAAATGCTTG